CAGCCTGCAGCTGCCGTGGGCTTTTGTGGGGGGTTGCAACTTGCTTTTGCTTTTTATTGTTATTATTATTATTATTATTATTATTGCTACGTAGTTTGGAATACTGTAGAGCAGAGACAGACATCAGTGGGACGCTTATCAGGGCACTACTGGCAAAACATGAGTAGAAATGGAAAAGATTAAAGCCTCAAGCATTCACAGTGAATATTTGGAAAGGGGAGCTGCTCCCCTCCCTTTTCTTTTTCTTTTCCCTCCCCTTGTATGCAATTCTCTTTCATTTGGATCTCTTCTGTTTTAAGAGCTTGAGAGTGTAATTTAGCATTCATATTTAACTAGGTATCTGTGGTGTTTCCGAGCCAAATTAGCAGGTTTATTACCTCCTGACACGGCAATATTCTGTAATATTCCTCTCCAGGAACATCTCCAGAGAATACAGCAAATCCTGAAATTGGGGCATGCCCCATTTTCAGCTGACACACGTACACGTTCCCTCCAAGAACCAACATCTCTGAGGCCCAGGTTTCCATGAATCCATGCCCTTGACTCTCTGCACCCCCCTGAGAAAAATCACAGCCTTCATTCTTGGCAAAGGGGGACACATTTGAGCCATTTCTCTCCTTAGGGCCACTTTTCCTGTTTTGTTTAATCTGGTGGCTCTCGGGCCGAGCTGGGAAGGCGATGGCGGCCGCTGTTTCAAGCAGCTGGTGCAGCTGAATTCAGTCRGTGCTGAAGCACCTGCATCCCTCTTGGAGGGACAGTCCTGGCACATGCAGATAAGGCTGCCAGGTTCTGCATGCAAATGCAAGCTAAATAACCAATTCAAGGCACTTAGGAGGAAAAAACAAACCCATATTTCTCTCTCCTCCTTGTAGGCTCAGTGCTCGTGGCCAAGCTGCCCTCCYGGCACATTTTCATGCCCGCTCCAAAAACAGGCAGCCCAAATTAAGCCGAGTTTTTCAGCCTTCCCTTCCCATGGCTCCACCACCTAATCACAGCACTTGATGCTGGGCTCACGCTTTACAGAATGGGGTCCTATGAAAGCTCATTGCTCCTTTCTATTTGCTTTTACGTAGTGGAAGAAGTTCAGCTCAGCAGCATCTTGGCTACTTTTATGGTTTAATGAGAATGAATTTCATTCCCATGTTTCTTCTGAAGATGAGCAAAATGAGGATTTTCTTCCCTCCAATGCGGGAAATAAATATATTTAAAAAAAA